TTTCTATTCCTTTTAGTTTCTGTGGTACCAAAGATCCTGCCTGGTAAGCCTTGAGCAGCGGTGACCACACAAAATGATGTGCCATGCGTTGGCCAGTAGATGGTGCTGATTGCAATAGAAATGACATTTAATGACATTTGTGTTACTCCAATAGGCTTTGTTCAGGAGTACATTTCTCAGAGCCAATAGCACTGCACTTATCTTCGTATTAATTGCACATATGATCTCTCCAAGTTATTATTGATCTATCAAGTATGGTATTTCTGTGGGACTATACGGACATACTCATTTTTTTCTCTTGACAGGCATGTCACGTACTGCTGCTGAAATGGAACAGGGCAAGGTTGATATCTCCAGTTTCTCTTCTCCATACTCAACCAGAGAGGTCTCGCTGAAAGCAGAAGATTTCAACAAGCTTCTGAAGCTGACTAATTACAACATCATGAACAACGAGAACATGATTCTTCAGGCTCTGCGCACGGCTGTGGCACGGAAGAAACAAGCCCTGAGCCAGCCAGTATCACAAGCACAGCCCTCTGCTTGAACAGCATTTTCCTGTCCCTTACTCAGCATTTACCAAGGCAGCATACATATGATAAATACTTCACCATTCTTGACAGGGGCCATGTCTTTCTAAGTAACCTTCTCAATCTTACGGAGAATTGGGGTATTAAACTCAGCAGTTTCTCTTGTTAATACCATCTCACTCTGATGTTCAAAAGATGAAGATTCAGCTGTGTGTGATAGGGAAATAGCATTAGCTCTACTTGTCTGCAATCTCTTATGGTGGCTATTTGCTAATATTTATTTCACATGCAAAATATTTTGGCATTTCACTGGGACTATTGGTAGCAAAACCATAAAGCCCTTTTCAGACACAGAAGGTGGTGACAATGCAGTACCAATTTAAAACATTTTACTTTGTTTTAATAACCCGATTTAAGTGGCCTTCTACCTTTAAAAAGTTTTGTTTCCCTGGTGCTTATTTTTGGTCATGAATTGTTGTGAAATAAATATTTTGCGAAGGATGTTTTATTTTTCAAATTTGTGTTGGACAACGGAGCCAGTGGCCATTTGGGTCTTTCATGATAAATATTCTTATCAATTAAATCAAACTTCAGAATTTGACTTGAAGGACTACTGCTATTTCCTCTCACAACCAACTGTGTCCTGTCCCAGATAACATATAGATTCTTCAATTTTCTCCCTGAAATGCAATTTTTTTATAGTGTATTGAACTATTAAAAAACCAGAGAGCATGTGAAGGGGATTGCAGGATACATGGTAATTGAACACTGGAAACATGCAGTAAGATACCAATTTTCTGCTCACTGCATCACAGTGTATCCCATACTCAAATACACCTGAGGCCAAGAAAGGTCCAGCAGAGAGAGAAATGTGGAGCTTCTGTTTCTGGCGTGAATTCTTCCTCAGATGTGAGTAACTGGAGAGAGAGAGAGGTATTCTTTTTGAGATCTGGAGCTGGTGAAGAAGTTGGGTTTTGCTGGTTTTAGGTAAAAGTCACACAGGAGCATTGTGAAAGAAAGGCAGATGCTGGCATCTAGGAGTTTGTCAAGGGTCAGCCAAGATGAGCCTTACAGGAGCCCTCAGAGGCTGGCCTAAAACAAGGAGGCAAGAGCTGTAGCAGAGTTTCTCCTTTCCACAAATAAGGTACATAGACAATTTCTGCCCTATATTCTAAAATCCTGCTTACTGTTTCATCTGAGCAGCCACTCACGAGCTCAAACTAAGGGACCTGAACTGTCACAACGGGTATCATGACTGACTCCTTAAAACCCAACAGGGAGGGTATCATTATACTTGTCAAAGTCCTCCTGTGACTGTAAAGTTCTGGGCGTTCCATCAGCTTTGTAAAGTCTCCAGGCTCTGAGGAGCTCTGGTGCAGATTCTATTCTCAACTGTCGTTCCTTGTTGGGAATATTTTTGTAAGGTTTGGATACTCTGATGTTGCCTGTGAGCTTTTTGATAGTAATGGTGAGCACCTGCTCCTTCCTGGTTTTACCAGCATCAGACTGGTGGGAAAACATGTATTCCTGAGACAATGGAAACAGCTCTCTCTAGATGCCTTGTACAGCCTGCTTCACCTTTTGTATGTCCCATCTCAGAATTTGTGATGCACCCTAAAATCTCAGATGATCTGAAGCAAAACAGAAATGATAGCTTCTCAGCCACTGGCATGGTGTTTAATATGTTCACACGAGATGTTTTGTTCCAAGGGCCTGTTCTGGTACTATTACTAGATTTTATTCAAGCAGAGGCACTTGACAGCCAATATCTGGGATGGGCTGTCTCCAGCTCCATGTCCTGCAACATTTGCTGTGGAGGAGATTCCAGCAGAGAGAACCCTTGGGTAGGAGAGGTGACAGAGGCCTAGAGACTGGCCTACTGTTTTCCTTCCGTGTACTAAGTTGAGGTAATACATTTTTCATGGGTAAAACACCTTTATTTTGTATACTACCATTATTTCTTCTGTTACTATGTGTTTCTTACCACATTGTTTTTTGCTTTCAGTAAATTTTTATCTCAACCCCTAAATCTCTCCTTTTGTCCTTCCCTTACCGGATGGGAGGGGTGAGAGGGGGCGGCTTTTTTGGAGTTTAATTTCTGGCTGGTGTTACACCACCAGAGGGTGGTCCAGTCATTCCCTACCTCAGCTGAACACTCCTGTGTTGGATCAGTTTGGCCAGGTTTTGGTAGCAGAGGCTTACAAGGGTGGCCTGTGTGAGAAGATGCCAGCAGATCCCCCCATCTCCAACAGAGTCAATGCCAGCTGGCTCCAAGGCTTGCCCCCCTGGCCATGGCCGAGCCCATCAACAGCAGCTGTGCCACCTCCAGGATAATGTATTTAAAAATGGGGAAAAAAACCTGTGCTACATTGATTGAAGTGGGAGAGGAGAGTGGGAACCTGTGAGAAACAGGCCTACACATACCAAGGTCAGTGAAGGAGGTCTGGTGCTCCAGACTTTGGAGCAGAGATTCCCTTGATGCCTGTGCTAAACAACTGTTAAATAACTATTTAGGTGGCTGTTAAATGACCATGGTGAGGCAGGTTCTCCCTCTCAGCCCTCGCTGGCCCATGGTGGAGCAGATATTCGCCTACAATCCCTGGAGAACCACACATGGAGCAAGTGGGTGCCTGAGGGAGGATGTGGCACTGTGGGAAGCCTGTGAAGGAGCAGGTTCTGGCAGGACCTCTGGGCCCATGAAAAAAGGAGTCCGCATTGGAGCAGGTTTGCTGGCAGGGAGCCACTCTGGAGGGGTGTGTTTCTGCAGGACAGCACCCCAATGGAAAGGACCCATGCTGAAGCAGTTTGTGATGAACTGGGAAGGACTGAGCTGGAGAAGTTCATGGAGGACTGTTTTCTGTGGGAAAGATCCCACACTGGAGAAAGTGAAGCTTCTGGGGCTGGAGGAAGTCCTGAAAATCAGGAGTAAAATTAAACCCAAGAAGAAGGGATGGATGGGGGAAAGGTCTTATGATTTGTCATCCTACTCTGATTTGATTTGTAATAAATTTGGCTGATTTCCCCAAGTTCAGTCTGGTTTGCCATGATGATAATCGGTGAGTGATCTCTCCCTGCCCTTCTCTGAATCCGCTTGCCTTTCATTAAGTTTTCCCTCCCCTGTTCAGCTGAAAAGGGTGTGGTGTGTATGATAAAGTGGCTTTGGTGGGCACCTGCTATCCAGCCAAAATCAAACCTCCACACCTTCTCAGTGTTGCTTGGTTGTGGTTTGTTGAGGGTTTGGGGTTTTTTTGGTTGTGGCATTATTGGATGGGATTTTGTGTGCTTTTTTGGTTTTGTGTTGTTCTGTGTGTGTGTGTTTGTGGATTTATTTTTTATTTTTTTTTTTGAGGGGGGAGGGATTTACCTAAGGGGAAAACATCTTTTTCCATTGTCTAGTCATAGGACAGGTGCTTCTGTCCTCTCATCATCTTTGTGTCCTTCCTCTGGACTCACATCAACAGGTTTATATCTTTCTAGTGCTGGGGGCTCCAGAGCTGCACACAGCACTGCAGGTGGGGTCTCACAAGAGCAGAGGGGCAGAATCCTCATCTTCAACCTGTTGGCTACACTTCTTTTTAAGCTTTTGCATCTCTTTAATTGAAAGGTTATTGAGGGCAGATTCCTAATCCTAAAATAGTTGCTTATTTAAGTAATTTTCATTCAGAGAAAAGTTGTAAGGCCAGAAATTACTCTCTTTATTGTGTATTTTCATGATGTATGAGGGTGGAAGGGGAAGACAGGTTGTGGCTGCTCCGAGCATATAAGTTATCACCTTCTGCAGTTCTGAAGAGGTGGTTTCATATCAGACATCTGGGCACATTAGTAGGTGGACCCATACAGTGGCTATTAATCTGCTGCTGCACAATTTTCTGCCAGAAATTTGAAAACTTTGGTGTCATTTTTGCTTTATAATTGGATGACACTGCATTGTGTTTAAAATACCAAGATGTTAACATTTAAAATTAATCAAAGTATGCCTTTATTTTCAGAATTTGTGGGGTTTTTTTTTGTCTTGGTTTACTCAGAAGTCTTGTGTTTGTGGAAGGCTTCAGAAAGCAGGAAAATTTATATTCCAGTAACAAATATACAAGTTAAATTGGGGAAACATTGGGGAAACAGTAAGTTCAGCCCTCTATCTCCCAGAAAAGGAAAATGAATACAATTTGAAGAAAAGGCCTTCTAATTAATTTAATAATAATAATAATTCTGATACTTTTGTTTGCTGATTGGACTGCTGTATGTCTACATGTAGCTACTATTATCTTTGGTTTGTTTATTGCTGAGGCTGCTAGAACATCCCATGCATAAGTGCTGTGTGTTATCAGCCCCTTATCTTGAATTGCTGATAACTCTTGGCACCTTGGTGTGTACAGCCTTCCCCAAACACATACCTCTGGTATTTAGCTATCAAATAAACCCAGCAAACTCCCTGCCCTTTTCTCTTCATACTTTCCTTTTCATGCAATGAGGAAGGTGGGGCTTGGATAAACCACTTGCTCCTCAGCAGGTGCCTCCTTAAAGTTTGCAGAGGTAGTTTGTGAATCACAGCCGTTGCCTCTAACAGTGAAGTGACAATCTATCTCTGATTTGTATGCAGCTGGGGGCAGGATGGGCTCATACTGGAGTGCTTGTGAGGTAAGGGTGTGAAAGCTCTAGGAGCTGGGGTGGGCTTGTGGCTGGGATTCTGGTTGGGAAAAGAGGTCTTGTGAACTTTTATTTCTAATTTCATGTATGTTTTCACCTATTTATGTAAGGATGGCTTATACCTTTGTCGGTATTAGTTACCCTGTGGAGGCACTCTTGGTAGTGAAGTTCACAGTAGGTAATTCACATGGAGGCTGGGAACCATTCTGAAGTGCCTCACAGGAGCTTTCTGTGAATTTGGGATGAATCTGTGATTTGATTCAAACATTATAAAAACTGTACCCTTCCACAGTGCATCTGCCAGCTATGACTATAAACATATATGGTGCCCAGGTAGCTGTGCTAGCAGCCACCTGGCAGTGATAGACACAGGAAGGTCACTGCCTAAAAGCAGTGATTAATAATGATGGTCTTAGTTTTATATTTGTGCATGACTGATGCACAAAAAAAATCTTGATCTGTCTCAGAAGTTGTGGGGGGTTGTTCTGTTGTTTGTTTGTTTGTTTCATGGAACATAAGTGAGAGGGAAAACACTAAAACTGTCTGTTGGGTTCCAGGGAATGAACATACTCTGTCTTCTTCTCAGTTCTGAAATTAACTTGCAGTTTGCTATGAACAAGTTATTTGATTATTCTGTGCCCTGCTTGTTTAAAGAAACACTAAGGTTCTACAAATTCATCTTTTTGAATAGAAACTGGCAATGGTCTTTGTGTGGAAAATATGCATAGAAAGCAAGAAAAGTGACTGTCCTCTCTGCTGTTCCCCTTGCCCTTAACCACTGAAACAGCTTCAAGAGTAAAAGTACAGGCTTCTTAGAGATACAGGGGTGAGGGGAGACTTTTTCCACCCAGAACCTAAAGCCAGATAGATGACATTAAAACATGCCCTTCTCTTTTGGAGTTAGACATAAAAAGCAGACCAAGGTTAGTTTATCATAATTCAAGAGTGATAGGAGAATTTGTAACTTCTCACTTGGATTAATTCCTAACTGGAAAAAGGAGTGACATAACTCCCTTGAGGAATTTGGTGGAGTAATTTTGCTAGCAGAGAATGGGAGAGGAACTAGATAATACTTTCCGTGAAGCAATAGCTAAAACTTCAGGTACTAAAATCTGCAAGATTTAATAATTGTTTTGATTTTGTTATTTGCCTTTCCTTCTGCACCTGACATTTCAGGTAACGATCCTTCTGCAAATATCCAGCATCTCGTTTGAGTAGGGAAGTTTTGTTGACATCTCTTCCAAAGCTGTTTTCTTGCATCTGCTTTTTTTGTGTTGTGCTGATGGTGCACAACAAACAGTGCCACAAAAAATTATTTCTTCTTTCAATGACATATATACACAGCAGAATATTTCCTCAATTTTTTTCTATTTTTTAAACTCTACATAGACATGATTTTAACTTCCAAAGTAATGCAAGCACTTCGTCTTCTAATTTTGCTGCATGACTTTGAAAATTACAGCAGGAATTTGTGGGAGACCATGTTTTATGAAGCATAAACAACATCAATGCATGTAATGAACTTTGTCATTTTTCTACAGAGAGATGAATGTCCCTGCTGTTCATTCTTTGTGAAAATCATAAGAATGAAAAATCTGAGAAAGGCAGATCTGTGTGAGTATCACAGTCTTTCTTTGCACTTTTTAGTAGCTCATCTCTGAAAGCACAGAACATGTGCTTGCTGCTTGCACTGTAACTGTTATCTGTGTTTGAACTGACACCATGGTTTCGAATATTGATGCATATTTGATTTTGGACTGTGCTTTGAATGCAGTTTTATATAACAATTATCTTTTGTTTTATAGCATGTTACTATTATTAGTGGGAATAGCAAATATGTACTGTAATGTACCATAAAATATCTTTGGTGCTGAACCTTGTTAGCAGTTGTTTTGATGAACAAATTCAGGTGTTAATTCTCAGTTTCAGCTTTTGAATTTCTTTTTCTTTAAAGAAAAGAACAAAGGAGCATTATACATCTTATTGTCAAACAACTTTTTTTTGGTCAAAATTTCACTGAAATGTGTTCAAAATAGACTTTTCAGGATAAACAAGTACCATTGAAATATTTCTGAGGACTTGGAATGGGTAAAAGTGGAAGTGAAGAGAGAAAAAATATCTCAGCAGTTACTCAGATAGGAGAAAGAAAGCTGAATATCTCAAATATCTGACTCAGAAAGAAAGAACAAGTCAGGAACAAAATGGAAAGACAGTGAATATGAACCTTTGTGTATCAAAGAAGACCAAGTGAACAAAACAACTATATTTGCCTCCATGGAGATTCCTATTAAATTCTTGCTTTTCTGCCATTATGTCTAGCATAGAGATACTGCCTTCTCTTGAAAAAAACAAATCTTCAGAGAAAAGTGAAAGGATGTTTCAATTCCATTTCTATTATTTCTATTTCAGCTGAACTGTTTTCTGGTATGTTACCAGCCCAAGGCAATTTCTAAGTTGCCCTGACAGGCAACAGCATCAAGACAACCACCTGCAGAGCTGATAACCAAATGTGTGCCTCTGACCTTAAAATCAGGGATGTTTCTCACTTTCTCAGCATTTTATAGTGGTTGGAAATGATGATCTTCACATTCTTAAGGACGATTGAACTTCCAGAAATCCGTAGCAATTTATCTTAGCTGTTTATCTTTTATTAGTCTTTATCCTGTATCTTCCTTTTGAGCAGATGATTGATTACCTGACTTCAGGTTTGAAGCTATAACACTGCACATTTGCTTCCAAAGCCAGATGTGGAAGAAGGTCTTTGCTAGAAAGAGGCAGAAGAAGCAGTCCCAGGTGACAGGGTCATAGAGGAGCTGCTTCATCCATTCCCCATTCCACTTGCTTTCCTTTATTGTATGGAAGAAAGAACCACATTTTATTTTTCCTCTGATAATCAGGACCAAGCTGCTAGTGTCACAGCAGAGAGTCAGTGGGTTTTTATTTCTCCTGTGCATGTACGCTCTCTCAGAGCAAATGATTTTGTTAGTGGAGCCATGCCCCATGTGTGATACACAGCACAAGAAATGAGACTATTAAAAAGAATTACACTGAATGAGAAAACCAGTGTGAGAGTGTAATACAATTCTTTATTAACTATTTAAAGTTTATATATAACACAGGGCTTGCACATGTCATATAACATGGGACTTATTTTTTGTTAAGGGTTAGCAGTGGCTATCGGCTATAATCATGCTATTGACCTTTTCCCTGTGCATTGGAAAAAAGGTTGTGTTTGTGCATGTGTAATAACAAGAAGTAATAATAATAAGTGAATATTGTAGAAGTGTATAATAATAATAAGTGTAATAACAAGAATTAGGCTACTAATATGCATTTAAGTCTGTTAGGAAAAAGGCTTACTTGTGAATCAGAAAGAAGCGCTCCCTAATTATGAAGATTATCAGGTACTTATAATCTAAGTAGTACATATTGTGAAGACATAGCTTTTGCAACTTCTAGGCATGTTTTGAGTTTGGCTAAATTTTCCTAGTGAAAATGAAAAAAAATAGTGCTGCCAGACCAGTCCAAAGACGCATTTGGATTGAGAGTATGTCCCCAGAACTGGCTTATAATAAATACTTTGGGGTATGACAAACACTGAACCATGCTTTTCCCTGCCCCACTCTCCCAAGAGGTCTGTGCTTCTTGAGGTCTGTGGCTGAGAGATCTGGCTTCTGACTCAATGGTAGTGTTGCATTTAATTGCCATACCCCAAATTATTGGTTTCTGGAGGCCATTAGGGATCTTATTTTGATATTTGTCATCTCACTTTGATCTGGACAGGAGCCCAGATATTCTTTTTCAGTGTCACAGGAAAACACCATTCCCGTTTTTAGGATGTTATTCTTTGGGGAGGTCTGCATGGTTATATTGCTAACTAAATAGTTACAGACATTTTTTTTTTTCTCTCTTTGCCTTGCATGGGCAGCAGAAATACCTGCATAAGAAAACCTAGTCCTTTCCAGGCTGGTATGAAAAGGCCGTTTTTACATATTAGATGTGTCAGCTCTTATACCAAGACAACAGCTCCCTTGTATTTATCTCAAGAAGTGCAGAATGCTAATCATTATATCACTGCCTCTATCTCTGGCTTTAAAACTGAGACAGCTTTGTGGATATCACAAATCTTCACAAATACATCCAACATTTCTGTAAAATCTGCCTGGAGGATGTGATTTCTTTGTCCAGCAGGGCTTACTTGTGGCACCAGTAAAATGGGGAGTCACTGACAGCATCAGGAGCAAAGGTCACAAGCTGAGGTGCCTGGATGCTCCATCTTCTTGTTTTCCAAAAGCTTGTCTTACCAGACAAGATCACTGGAAGAGGGCATAGTTTTTATGTTCATGTCTCACAGTTATTTCATAGAAGCCAACTTTATGGCATTTCTACCATTTAACCATGGCACAGTTACTTTCTGGAGAGATTTGCCTGCCAGCCAGGTACCACTGCATTTCACCCCATGTGCTGCTTATAACATGAGCTGGATGGGTGTTGTGTAGATTCCCCAGGGCAGATCTTGTTTTCAGCGTGGCTGCCCAGACCTGCCTTGTTGTGCACAGTCCCATTGGAGCACACCTGGCTCTCACTGATTCCAGAGGCTGCCACTGTGGTCACAGCAGGCCATGGGCTGTCACAGCTGGCAAATCTGGTTTTGTGTGGCCCTTTTCTCAGTGGCTGGGTTCACTGACCTTCCAAGAGATAAAGTATCTTCTACACTGCAAATTGACATCTATGGAAGAGAAACCTGTTTGCTTCATGGGCTACAAGTGAAATATAAGCTTAACATTTTCTACATGTGTGTATTTAACAGAAATACTCCATTCAGAAGATAAAAAATGTCTTTAGAATTGGTGACACGTCCTAATTGTGATTTAGAAAAATCCAAGGCTACAAAAAGTTTTTCCTGGAATAGTCTACAGCTACTTTTTTGGTTTTGTTTGTTTGTTTTCTTTAATATGAAAAGATAATCAGCATTTTCATTAGATAAAGCTTTAGGCTTCTCTTTAGGCTTCTCTTTAACTATAATATTAAATTATAGTTATGGGCCTTATTACATCTGAACATGTTGCTATGTAATTACATAGCAAGCTCACAATGTTATACTGCCTATTGATTTTTAAAGTTGGAAGACAACAGTACCAATGTTTTTCCTTATATCACGTAAACCCTATGTAACACCATCAAAATAACAAGACCCCCCTCAGTGCCATGTTCTCCAAAGGAAACTAGTGTGTGCGGAAAGGACTGTTTGAAGATATGCTCACAACATGCTGTGTATATTTCCTTTTACCTCTGCCTGTAGCACTGGCATGAGAGGGTAGCAGCAGTCTTTGTGCAAAGAGGGCAGTCAGGCAACACGGGCTGTGACAACGGGCAGCTGCCTGGGCTGGCCAGTGCTGATGGCACATTCACTTTAGGGTGAAATTGCTTCCCATGGTCACTGATGTTTGCAGTGGTTAAGAGTAAAGGAGTAGGACGTGGTCCTTTTAAAAAGAGTGTTTGTGTCTTTTCAGGGCACTTCGTTTAGATTCCTGATGTCACTGCCTCCTCAGACAGGTTGTTTTTGCATTAATGGAGAGAAAGCCTAAAACAGCCCAACACAAATGCTTAGCAATAAGAATCTGCACAAGGACAGAGAAGTGGTTATGTGGATAACCGCCAAGTTGCAACAAATCCTGTAAACAGGGATTTCCTAACTGGTTAAGAAACTGAAACAGGGATAAAAGCAGCCAGTAATCACAAGAAGATCCTCCCTGTGATGTCATATCCTGGAGCAGGGCTTTTTTACTGTAATTTCAAGCTGATTAGATCAAGTTCAAGAACTAATTGCATAACCATGGCGATACCTGTTGAAATGGAAGCCTGGTCTTGACTGATGCTTATTATAATAAAGTCATAACCACGGTTAATAATAGGAGTAAAAAATGAATATATAATCTTGATGAATGTTATATGAGTCAGTTTCATAGCTGCATTTCTTAACAACCTCTGTTCCTTTCTATTCAGTCTTCTTTTTTGTTTCATCCACTCATGCAAACCAAGTCTGCTCATGCTCTTCCTCAGTTCATTGTTACCAAACACACACATAAACCTAGTTTCCCTCAGGTTACCTGTTTTGTATTCTCTAATCTAGAAGATTAATTCTGTTTTTTCCCCCCTTTTTCAAGTCCTTGATGGTCATGGTGGAGTGTAGTGTATATTGTATTATATACAGTTTCATTGTATAGCATTAATGGTAAATAGTGTGGAGACAAAAAGCCTTCTCTGTGCCTTGACAGCAGCATAAGCTGCCACTAAAGAGGAAAATGCTATTTATAATCAAGGAGATCAAGGAGATCCTTACTTGCTTTGTACATGTCCTTATAGCTGTGGAATTGCATCCCTTCTGCTGCCAGTGGGTTCAATGTAGGTGTACATGTATCTTCTTGCAGCCATGCTGGCTTCTGCATGCTTCTGTGTGCAAGAACAGAAAGCTGTTCTGGTAGTTAAAGGTACTGTGTGTGATGCTCCTCCATGGCTTCCTTTAGATTCTTGGTGTAGTCTTAAAGAAGAGCTTCTCAAAACCATGATTCCTCATTTCCAAAGCCAGTGCTTCAGCAAGGACACTGGGAGCC